TCATTTTCGGACTACTAAACAACTATTCACTTAGAACCACGGAGAGTTTGCTCAAGTCGCAAAAAAACAGGAACTGCCTCCACTAACGTCATTCCAGCACCATTTCAACATTAACGTTTCAACATCATCAAATCACCTATGCTTAGTCTAATACAGTGACAACTTAAAGATACCAAAACAATTTAGTCCAACATAAGCTAAGTATCAGTCCATGGTACTGGTTTCTCTGTGTGTGTGTGTGCACGCGCAAGTAGAAAAAACATGTTGACTCACCCTACTTGTAGAGGAACGCCAATACCATCCTCCTCTCTTTCATGTTACCAAAACAGTAGCCTAACGTTACACGCTTTTAGTTTTTGTTGTCCTAGACTAGGCTACCTGACTAAAAGGCTTGCTAACTAGCTTAAATTACTTTCATGGGCAACGATGAGCCAGCTAACTAGTTAACTTGTTAGGTTAGCCTACTACATCTAGCTACATATTGAACTTCCTCTCCGGCCAGCGGCACAATGTATGAATTTATAATCATTGGCCGGTACACAAAGTCCAAATCCCAATCTCCATCCATGGCTAGTTTAGAAACGGGACGATTTTAGCTAGCTAGCCACCAGAGGACAACGACACAACAAGATGCAACAACATTTTCTTCTGTCAATGCTTTTGATGTGATGTGATTGGTGTGAAGCCAAATCCAAACTGGCTTCACTTGACACCTTATTTTGGTGCACCAGGACCATTCACAGTTAAACTCAATCAGTTTAGCTCAACACTGATTCGTTATTATTTTATAATAAAGCAGACTGAACCAGGTTTTCCTCTAGGATTTTGTCTGTGCAGTTTCAAGTAAGTACTAACCTTTGAATCATACCTCTTTTTTATGTAACTTCTAAGCAGACCTGGGTTCAAATACTATTAGTAATCATTAAAAAAACTTAAGCTGGCCTTTATTGAGCTTGCCTGGCGTAACGGAACCAAAAGTTGGTGAGGTCAATGCATAGTTTCTCTGGAGATAAATAAGATGAAGCCCAAACTGTGCGATGTAGTAGGGAGTTGTAGTTTCCAAAAGGCCAATATTATACACAGTGTAGTGCAGAAAACATGGTAATTAACTACAATGACCATAATCCATTGTGCGCCTACTTGTTCGGTTGTGTGGGCGAGACAACGAGACGGAAAGAAGAGACGGAAGAAAGTGCAATCGAGAGAGAGAGAGAGAGAGAGAGAGCAGTTGCTTCAAGATATCTCTACCGGAACATACATGATCTAAGTGATTGATAGTTGGTATTCAGTAGTCATAAAATTATGCCTTATTTACTTTGAAGAACTACTAAAATAGTGATTTTGTCAGACAGCGTAGGCAGCAGCTCTATAGATATGAGATGTGACTTGGAATAAAATAATAAAGTAATCAAATAAGTAAGGGATAAACTCTGACGTTCTGTACATTACCTTGGAAATAATAGATGACGCAGCAGGAGGAGGTGGAGCCGAGTCCCTTTGCAGAGTTCGTTTTTGCAAGGTAATGTACAGAACGGAGGCGTTTATCCCGCTTATACCACTGTTACCAAGAAACCAATACTAAAGCACACATTTACAGTCATTTTTATAAACAAATTCATACTTTGGGTTCTAGAGACGCGACCCAGTCGTTCGTTCGATTAGTTCTATATTGATGGTCGCGACCCAGTCGTTCGTTCGATTAGTTCTATATTTGTGGTCGCGACCCAGTCGTTCGGTCTATATGTTCCATTATCCCTTGCTTGCTAACTAGCTACGGCTAACACAGTCATGACCTGTGCAGCCAGAATAACTGTTGAGAATGGACGTTTTTTCTTGTTGAACCTGCGTTTACAATGTATCCAATTTCGTCTTGTGTGGTTGTTGGTTTAGCTTTCTGTAACTTTGTAGCAAGTAAGGTCTGCATGTTTAGGCGCATATTGCGTCATGCTATCAAGGTGTACCGATATTTTTTCCAGCTGTCCTGGTTTTAATGCCCATTCTAGAATGCCCTTCTAGCCAATCAGAAACGAGTATTCAACAAATTTAATATACGCAACTGAAATATTTTATTAAAGTAATGTGAATAAATGATGGTTAATAAGTGATAACCAGTAATGGGCAGTCACTACCATCATGGGACTTTTATTAATTGTTTTATTATGTGTTACAGCATTCAACCCACATAATGCATAGTGCATTTCATATTTTTTTAAATAATCGAAAATCGTGTTTTTAACTTATTTATAATCGAACCGACCTCAAAAAGCACTAATCGCTCAGCACTAGTCACAACAAACATGTTTTCCCATCTCAAGAGGTTAAATTACAAGAAATTACTAAAAGTGACAGGGTTCACTGTAACAGAGTTGACATTTTTATCTTAAATCAGCCATAAATCCCTTTGTGACAGTGGGAATGGAAGCTTGTGTGCAATTAGGGAGGGGCAATTGAATGCAAGCTTAAAGACAATATATGAACTTGTTAAAACTTTTCTAGCCTATGTATGGGTAACAAGGTTGACATGTTATGGTCAACCCACTCAGTTTTCCATCACAAAACACCAGAAAATGCCCAAAAAGAGTAGAACCAACTCACCGGTTTTTACGCTTTGATTTGACTATTAATGTTCAATGTTTCTTTAAACAAATGTTTTTAAATAAGTCATTTTAGCATATTAACATGAGTTCAGTTCACGTTACAGGATTGACCTTGAACCGGGGAATAAATTGGCTAGGTAGCTAACTTGATTCTTCTTACATGTACTACTACAGTGGCTGCCGATCCAACTATACTCGACCCCTCTTCCCAACAGCTAAAGGTCGTGCGGTCTCTGCTCTATTCAGAGAACAGGCTACTCTGGTGAATGGTACTCGTTTAATAAAGTTAGATCAAAGCTGAATCAATGTCTGCAAGATCACATAATGATAGTATTCTACATAAAATAACCAAATATAATAGCATGTTACTGTAAGACAAAAACACACCACCTGATTTCTTATACATTTTCAGGATGATTGTGCGAATGGTCGCATGTTTCTCTCATATGGCCAAAACTCAAAAGCGTGCCACAAAATATGTGCTTTGATTGAACCGTAAAACAGGAAGGCTGTGCTACAGTTTAACACCATCTGTTCTAAAATTCGCTCACTGTACATCGTTCAAAACTGTAGGCTACTTCGAAACAATACTGTATAACTCAAGAAGATCTAAATGCATATCTCCAAGAAACTGATTGAGATCAAATGGTTGGTATGCAGATGCTGCATGGACGTTTCACTGTTAAAACTTGAAGAATTATCATTCACGATTGAAAGTGCGAAATGTGAAGGGACCCACTGGGCAAAAACTGGTTGACTCAAGTTGGAAAACTGATTGGATTTGCAAAAAGTCTTTTTTTCACCCAACTTTGAACCGAAATCCAATGACATGGTGACACTTTTGGTATGTTAGTTGACAACTCAACCAAATCTAAATCAAAACTAGACATTGAACTGAAGTCTGTGTAGATGTTGAACTGACGTGTCTGCCCAGTGGGGAGGGGGACCAGAAAAATGTATGCGTAAAGTAGAGGTAAAGAAACACATGCACGGAGCATGTGTTACGGAGGTGAAAAAGCATAGGATTTCTGTAAATATGGGCGAGAGAGAGTTTCATTCCACCATTTTTTGGTCTCGGTGCTATTCCTTTTAGATTCAAGTCATATTGAGATTTACTTTGTGATTTAAAGCTAACCTGACCCATCACATTATGTATTACTGCCACCCCATTGGAAGAAGTGATATCCCAAGAAACACCCACATAACTATAGAACACAAATGGCTCCTAGCTTTCCATGCTTTCTGTTCTTAACACTAAAACTAAAATTTCAACTAAATAATATAACTATAAATATTTTGATAAAACTAAATAAAAAAACAAATCTAACAAATCAGTTCTGAAAACTAACTGAAACTGAATGTAATTTCGAATAAAAATCTAAAACGAATAGAAATAAAAACTAATATAAAACACAACTATACCTTTCATGGGAAATTCCTAAACAGGGATTTTCAGAGAAAACTAATAATTTATTTGAATGAAAACACAATTTTTTACGTGGTTTAGTTTAGATGTTCAGTATGTGATTCAACTGTTACATTTAGTGTTATAAAAATGTACACACGATGTCTGAGGGAAATAAAAGGCACTCTTACTATCAGACCTGGGATTCAAACAATCGCAGATAAACTATGTATGCACTGTGATTCACTTTTTAAGGGGATTTCTACTTTAGCAAAAATCTGTGTCATTAACAGTGAATGGGATCTTGGCAAACGTCAGTAAAATTGCCTTTAAAAGTCTATCACTGTGTGCATGTCGTTAATCTGCATTGGAGTGAATCCTGGCCTCAATCTCAGTGGTCAACTCTGGATTTTTATTTTGTTCTCTTTGTTATTGCAGAGCTCAGTCTGGAATTGTATATGCAGAAAGTTGGACTGGAACAGTATTTCACACAGAAGATGTCGTTGAATACCGTACTTGCAGTCGATGGCCAGATGTTAGAGGACAACCATGCTCCAGCACTACAGTCCCTACCATTGTGTTTTCTGAAAGAACTGATGAGGGTGAATGTGTCAGCAAGGGATGTGCAGTCTGATGATACAGATCTTATGAACCCTCTAGACCTCATAACAGCACTGTTTCTGTGTTCAGATGGTTTCTTGCAGCAGGATATTGCCCTGAAAATGTCAATGTGTCAGTTTGCTGTTCCTCTCCTGCTGCCCAACTGTGACACAGAACAAAGCACTTTGATGCTGTGGGCCATGAGGGACATAGTGAAAAAGTACAGGCCTCATTCAATGAAAGACCAGAAAGGGTATGTTGAGAACAGTATCGTGCTTACTGACCTCCCTATGGTGTCGTTTGTTAGACTGGGCAACAGCACATTATCAAAGTCTCAGCTTTTGAATGATGTTCTAAGCTGTTCTCAGCAGAATTACAACACCTTTGTTCACAGTAACATGCCAGCTGGCAACATTCCTAGAACTATTTCTGATGGGTTAGTGGAAATCAGCTGGTACCTGCCCAGTGGCAACCCAAGAATTGACGTCTTCACTGAACCTGTGGCTGTAGCTAATCTTCGTGGTGATATCCAGGATTTTCAGACCCAGTTCTCTTTCCTCTGCGAGACGTCAGCAGCAGTGTTTGTGTTCTGTGATGTTTTGGGCTCTGACAGCAGTATTCTGAACCTCCAGAAGATGAAAGATCGACTCGTCATTGTGTGCAACTCTGAGGCTAAGAGCTATGATGCAGCCACATTTGAGAAACACTCTGGTGTCATAATAAGGAAAGACAGGGAAATAAACAACGCACAGCTTGTGAAGAAGCTCCGGTCTGCAGTCACAGATGTCATGAAGGCAAACCCACACAAAACTAAAGTGGAGAAAATGTGTGTTGTTGCGCATGAGTTGGGTATCCCTGTGGATGAATATTATGATATCTGTCTGAAAGCCAAGAAAAGTGCAGCTTTAATTACAGATAAAATCAGTTGTATACCAAGCTATAAGAAGAGCAAGCTACGATTACAGGGAGAGATATGGAAAAGTCTGACTGCACTGGAGAAAGAGGAGGTCAAACTGAAAAAAGTAGGTGATAAGGATATTGAAATGTACAAGAGTGAACTCAAGCAAGAGAAATATGAACTCAGGAAGAAGCAGCTGTCTCTTGGCGTTAGTGACAGTATGCAACATTTTGTGGAAGGTTTGAGGACTTCCAAAGAAGAGCGCTCTTATTTCCTGAAGTGGATGAAGCTCAATCTGGACAACCTGTCAAGAACACGTCTGTCCACTCTCAGAGAAAAATATAAAAACCTGTGTCAGATTACCCCAGACAAGAAAGACCTCATTGCCGATTTAGACAAACAGATCTCAAACAGTTCCTTAGGAACCGAACATTTCTTAAGAGAAGTTGGACAGATATACGAAGCAACCATGTCCTCTGAAAGCAGTGAGACTCAACAGAAAGTTCAAGGACTGCCAATAATCTCTGCCGAATTAATGTTGGAGGGGTTTCCACTGGAGCTGATGGATGGTGATGCATCAAACATCCCAATGAAGTGGATATCAGATGTTCTGCAGGAGCTTCACGTTTTTACTATGCCAAACAATAAGATCCGGGTGGTGTCTGTTTTAGGGGTCCAAAGCTCTGGAAAGTCCACTCTTCTCAACACCATGTTTGGGGTCCAGTTTGCCTTCAGCAGCGGAAGATGCACCAGAGGTGCCTTCATGCAGCTTATCAAAGTCGAAGAGGAATTCAGGGATGAACTAAAATGTGACTTCATCATGGTCATTGACACAGAGGGGCTAAAGGGACTTCAATCTACCCACCTTACAGGCAATTATCAGCATGATAATGAACTAGCCACACTTTTGGTAGGACTGAGTGACATCTCAATTGTGAATATTGCTATGGAGAACACCACAGATATGAAAGACACAATGCAGATTGTAGCCCATGCCTTCCTCAGAATGAAAGAATTAGGGAAGAAGCCAAGTTGTCAGTTTGTGCACCAAAATGTTGCAGATATATCTTCTCATGACAAAAACCTTTGGGACAGGAAGCACCTTCTTGAGCAGCTGAATGAGATGACAATTGTAGCAAGCAGGATGGAAAATACAGGTGGCGACATTAAGTTTACTGACATCATAGACTGCAGTCTTGAGGACACATGTTACATCCCAGGTCTCTGGCATGGCAGTCCGCCCATGGCACCTGTCAATGAGGGTTACAGTGAAGCTGTGGCTAATTTCAAGAAGAAGTTGATTAATGCGTTCAAAAAGGAGGAAGCCTCAAACGTACAAACAATCCCAGAGTTACAGCATGAGATCATATGTTTATGGACGTCAATTAAATATGAGATCTTCATCTTTAGTTTCCGCAACAGCATTGTGGCTGAGGCATACACCAAGCTGTGTGTGGAGTTTGATCGATGGGAAAGAGCCTTCCAAAAGCACATGTACACCTGGCTGATCAAAGCAGAAACCATGGTGGCAAACTACGGCATAAAGGTGTCGCAACAAGAGTCTGGCTTGGATGACCTCTTAAACAGAATGAAGAGTGAGGCTAGGGATGAGCTAGATAGAGAGGGGAAAAAAATTCTCAACAATGTGTCTTCCTATTTCAATAAAGAAGAAGGGAATGTTGGTTTGGTTGAGAAGTATAGGAGTGATTTTATCATAACTGCAAAGAGTCACAAAAATGTGACTGATAGTGTTATCAGGAAAAAACTAGAGATTGCAGTGGACATAAAAAAATGCACAATCCAGGTAGACAATATTAAGAAAAATAATAGAGATACTCTTGACAAGAAAGTCTCTGACCTTGTTGAAAACGTTAGTGGATTTGATAATCCATTGAATAACCAACACGTTGAGGAAGAATTTGAAAAGATGTGGAATAAAACCATTGGGGAGCTGTCATTCGGGGGTCTAGAGAAGCAAAATATTGCCTCAAGTGTCAATCAGCAACTGTATCAGAATATGGGAAAGGGATGCAGCACAGTTCAGGAAATGTTAGCAATAGCAGGCCCTGTTGAGAAATGTGGACTTGAAGAATTTCAAGTAAAAAGTGGACACAACGTGGTGAAGAAGTTTATGAAGGGATTGATGAAGACATTACACAAGAGTGCATATCAATCTCAAAAATCATTACAGCAAAACACTCAAATGATGGCCAACAGCATCATAGAACACAGTAGGCGGTTTGTGATGAACAAGGTGAATGCAAAGACAGACTACCATAGCACTTACATCACAGAACTACTGGAATTGATTGAGGAGAACCTTAAACAAGATCATGAATTACATTTCAGTCCAGAATTCCATGCATCTCTCAAGATACACATCTGTGGGCATGCAGCAAGAGAGTTCCAGAAAATGCATAATGCTTTCATCAAAGACAATGATCCTCGACAAAGCCTGGAGAAACTGAAACCGCAGTACTTTACTGACTTCAAGGACCTATTCTACAAGAGAGACCATTGCAAAAGGAAGGCTGAAGAGTTCACCAAACACTGTCTGGAACCTGCAGTAAAGGAGTACATCATCAAATCCCTTGGACCAGACATTTTGGAAGAAATGCTTTCAAACTGTGGTGATGTTTTCAGCACAAGGAGGTCTTTCCAGTGTTCCATGCTAAAACGCCTACTATCTGGAGATTTTCCGACATTCGTGAAGTACACAGACTACTATAAGGGATTCGTATTTGAGTTCATTTTGATTTACACAGTTGAATACCTTTCAAAGAGAAGCAGGGAAGATAAGGGCATCAGCATCATTACAAACATGGAGGTCCAACACTTGAAGACAATCAGTAGACAGATAAAGAAGGCTGTTGAGAAATCACTGCAAACTGGCTCTGACAGACCAGATGAAGATGGTGAGGGTGACCTGAATTTTAATCTGTTTATTCAGGATTTACGCTCAGAATTGTCTAGCATGCTGGTTATTCCCACTGATACAACAGGGATGACTTTAGAGAATTCCAAGACCAAAGAGTTTTCTGACATGCTGTTATCATCTGTTGAAGAGATGGAGAGCCGTCTCTGTGATGAATTTCACAAAGATCAAGATGTATTCAAGAAGTTGGACAGTCTACCTGACCCTCCTCAGGAAAATCTTTTTAAAAACATGTGGGGCTGTGGGAGACAGTGTCCATTCTGCAAGGCCCCCTGTGATGAAGTGATGATGGATCATTCAATACACTCTGCTTCGATTCATCGACCAGATGGACTTGGAGGGTATAAATGGAGTGAGTCAGATAAACTTAGCACAGACACATGCTCATGTCTCATCATCAACAACAAAAATCAGTTCCGCAGTGTTGAAACAAAAGGGAAATTCTGTTCATATAAGAAATATCAGAAATTTTTCACAGACTGGATCATCCAGCCAAACCCCACTCAGACCGTTGCAGACTACTGGAAGTTCCTTTTTGTGAAGTACAATAAGGAGTATGCAGGGTTCCATGGTGCCTTGCCAGCTGATTTGCCAGGAGACTGGAGTTCCATCACAATGAAACAGGCTAAGGACAGCTTGGAAGAGAACATTTGACCCCAAACCACAGGGGAGCATAAGTCACCCTACTGTAGGAAAGACATCCTAGGAAAGGCAGCATGGTCTGATGTGACTTCACTGGAATTTATGTAAATGTTTATAATTTAGCTACGTCATAAAGAGAGTTTGAAAGAAGATTCATTGAAATTTCCGCCCAAAAACATAAAAACAATATGAGACCCTGATGTTAACAGTGTAACCAACTCCCCTCTTGAGTAGAAGAGGTGCTATAGGAAAGGAACATGTACATTATATCTGCTCACATCTCAGTTCCAAACATGACTTGGAGGCCAGTTGTGAATTATGATACAAGGTCATGACATGGATTGATTAGTGTTTGACGAACCACATTCATGAGAGCCCCTAGTAATGCACATTCAAGGTTTTCTTCATTGAGAAAGTTCATACTTGTGGTCAAATGTCAAATGAGTGCCAGTTATGTTGCTCCTGTGGCTTGACCTATACAGAAGAAATTAAGAAAGCACTGTAACTCCAAAGTATAAACATAGGACAGAAACATAGGTATGTCATGGATGACCAGGTATTATGTTGAATATACACTGCTCAAAAAAATAAAGGGAACACTAAAATAACACATCCTAGATCTGGATGAATGAAATAATCTTATTAAATACTTTTTTCTTTACATAGTTGAATGTGCTGACAACAAAATCACACAAAAAGTATCAATGGAAATCAAATGTATCAACCCATGGAGGTCTGGATTTGGAGTCACCCTCAAAATTAAAGTGGAAAACCACACTACAGGCTGATCCAACTTTTATGTAATGTCCTTAAAACAAGTCAAAATGAGGCTCAGTAGTGTGTGTGGCCTCCACGTGCCTGTATGACCTCCCTAAAATGCCTGGGCATGCTCCTGATGAGGTGGCGGATGGTCTCCTGAGGGATCTCCTCCCAGACCTGGACTAAAGCAACAGCCAACTCCTGGACAGTCTGTGGTGCAACGTGGCGTTGGTGGATGGAGCGAGACATGATGTCCCAGATGTGCTCAATTGGATTCAGATCTGGGGAACGGGCGGGCCAGTCCATAGCATCAATGCCTTCCTCTTGCAGGAACTGCTGACACACTCCAGCCACATGAGGTCTAGCATTGTCTTGCATTAGGAGGAACCCAGGGCCAACCGCACCAGCATATGGTCTCACAAGGGGTCTGAGGATCTCATCTCGGTACCTAATGGCAGTCAGGCTACCTCTGGCGAGCACATGGAGGGCTGTGCGGCCCCCCAAAGAAATGCCACCCCACACTATGACTGACCCACCGCCAAACCGGTCATGCTGGAGGATGTTGCAGGCAGCAGAACGTTCTCCACGGCGTCTCCAGACTCTGTCACGTCTGTCACATGTGCTCAGTGTGAACCTGCTTTCATCTGTGAAGAGCACAGGGCGCCAGTGGCGAATTTGCCAATCTTGGTGTTCTCTGGCAAATGCCAAACATCCTGCACGGTGTTGGTCTGTAAGCACAACCCCCACCTGTGGACGTCGGGCCCTCATACCACCCTCATGGAGTCTGTTTCTGACCGTTTGAGCAGACACATGCACATTTGTGGCCTGCTGGAGGTCATTTTGCAGGGCTCTGGCAGTGCTCCTCCTGCTCCTCCTTGCACAAAGGCGGCGGTAGCAGTCCTGCTGCTGGGTTGTTGCCCTCCTACGGCCTCCTCCACGTCTCCTGATGTACTGGCCTGTCTCCTGGTAGCGCCTCCATGCTCTGGACACTACGCTGACAGACACAGCAAACCTTCTTGCCACAGCTCGCATTGATGTGCCATCCTGGATGAGCTACACTACCTGAGCCACTTGTGTGGGTTGTAGACTCCGTCTCATGCTACCACTAGAGTGAAAGCACCGCCAGCATTCAAAAGTGACCAAAACATCAGCCAGGAAGCATAGGAACTGAGAAGTGGTCTGTGGTCACCAACTGCAAAACCACTCCTTTATTGGGGGTGTCTTGCTAATTGCCTATAATTTCCACCTGTTGTCTATTCCATTTGCATAACAGCATGTGAAATTTATTGTCAATCAGCGTTGCTTCCTAAGTGGACAGTTTGATTTCACAGAAGTGTGATTGACTTGGAGTTACATTGTGTTGTTTAAGTGTTCCCTTTATTTTTTTGAGCAGTGTATTTGCTGCATACCATAGAATTGCCATGCTGGAAGATGATAGTCATGGCAATACATCTGCCTTTGCTTAAGAGGGCATTTTTGTCTGAGGTTACAAGGACTCAATGAAGAATAGGAGTTTGGGATGAGATTATGTGGATTGATACATTTTGTAATTTACTTTTTATGATGCAATGGTTGATGTTGATGATCCATGTATTATGAGACTGATTATGTTGAAAAAGTATCCATCGTCCATTTGGGAATCCATCTCTACATATTTTGTATTTTGGTTATTGTGAAACAATTAATTACATCAATTCATTTTCTAATGTTTGTATAATGATTCATTATTATTTGTTTTAACTGAAAGTACATTGTTTATTGTAAAGGATGAGATATCTATTTCCACACACGATCCATTAGCTGCATCTCCAGAGAACATTTATTCTATATTGTATTTTCTTTTTTGCGAATACTTTTTGCTTAAAATTTTTTAGAGGTAAAACATATATATTGTTTAAACATTGGCTGTTAAACCAGAAACAGCTGGGAGAAAAAGAAAGAAATATACACTATACTTTTTATAAAAAAAAATATTTGTACTGTTTTCTATGAAATAATACATCTGATATTTGTATTATCATTTTACTTGATGTTATTCAAATTTGATTGTTAAGGATGTATTGTCAGATAAGATATATTGTGTATACATTCCGTGAGCAGTATGCCCAGAAATTATGAATATTTTGTTTTGTGAACAATGTTTTATTAAATTCAGTTTTATCAAGGACCAAAGTCAAACAAACAGTGTATTGTTAATACATTGGCTGCAGATTTGACTGAATAAAACTGTAAACCACAAATAAAGCTTTGAAAAAATATATAATGATATATACAATTTTTATACATGTTTTATATTTGCATTGTTGTCTGTCTAACAATTACTTGTTTCAACAATTACTTATGTACAAAATATATTCACACGATTTGTATAAACATCTTGATTAGAATTTAATGAAGACAATGTTCATTGTGATAAACATAAACAGTACACAAGAAGCATAACTAAATATGAAAGAAATATTATATTAGTTTGATATTTGATATTGTTTATTATCTTTGGTTTGATTTAGTTTTGTCGTCTTTTATTTCATTTTTTTATGATGGACTGAAAGGGTTGCAAATATCAGTGCAGAATGTACATCATATTATTGTGAATGGTCCATTAGAGTTTAACATCCATAGAGATGTGATTCTATATGTAATGCTATGTTTTATACCATTACAAAAAATCCTCTGAAACAGATGCATACATACTTTATTTTACATTGTGAAAGGTGTCTGTTTTTCATTGTGAAAGGTTTTTTGTAGTTTATTAAGAGGAGAACATTCTAGTCCTCATCTTACATTGTATTAAGGGCTACTGTAGTTACATTGTATTGAGGCTACTGTAGTTACATGCATGCATGTTCAAATATTCATTTCCACGTAACAACTTCATTATTCTATTGTTTGTTTATTCATCTCAGATTTGTCAAATGTAAAGAATGTATATATATATATCTGATTTAATAAAACAATCTCAGCATTCTTTTATTGTAGAAAAATGCATGTAACATATCATATGATTCCTCTACTCAACAACTTACAAGGATGTATAGTTCAACATTTATCATTAAAGAAAATAAAAATAGTTTGACACAAAGTTAATTTTAATTAATTTCATCTTAGGTAAAGAAAAAAAATTAATGAAACTATTTGAATGAACATTTATTCTAATTCTACGGATAATGTCAACATCAGTATTATATAATCAGACCATTACTCTGCTCTTAGTCTCTGATCAATAATATGAAAATAATTTATAATCTATCAATAAATGAATATTTGTTAACTGATAACAGTGTAGCACTTTGAACATAATTAATGAAAAGCACTTTACAAATAAAAGTACTATTATAATATTAGTTATACAACAAAAACATACATACAGTATTATTAGGGATGGTTGCTATAGCAATGAAAATACAGTACCAGTCAAAAGTTTGGACACACCTACTCATTCCAGGGGTTTTCTTTCTTTTTACTATTTTCTACATTGTAGAATAATAGTGAAGACATCAAAACGATGAAATAACACATACGGAATCATATAGTAACCAAAAAAGTGTTAAACAAATCAAAATATATTTTATATTTGAGATTCTTCAAAGTAGCCACCGTTTGCCTCGAGGACAGCTTTGCACACTCTTGGCATTCTCTCAACCAGCTTCAAGAGGTAGTCACCTGGAATGCATTTCAATTAACGGTTGTGCCTTGTTAAAAGTTAATTTGTGGAATTTCTTTCCTTCTTAATGCGTTTGAGCCAATCAGTTGTGTTGTGACAAGGTAGGGGGGATATACAGAATATAGCCCTATTTGGTTAAAGACCAAGTCCATATTATGGCAAGAACAGCTCAAATAAGCAAAGAGAAGTTACAGTCCATCATTACTTTAACACATGAAGGTCAGTCAGTCCGGAAAATTTCAAGAACTTTGAAGGCTTCTTCAAGTGCTGTTGCAAAAACCATCAAGTGCTATGATGAAACTGGCTCTCAGAGGATAAGTTCATTAGAGTTAACTGCACCTCAGATTGCAGCCCAAATAAATGCTTCACAGATTTCAAGTAACAGACACATCTCAACATCAACTGTTCAGAGGAGACTGTGTGAATCAGGCCTTCATGGTCGAGTTGCTGCAAAGAAACCACTACTAAAAGACACTAATAAGAACAAGAGATTTGCTTGGGCCAAGAAACATGAGCAATGGACATTAGACCAGTGGAAATCTGTCCTTTGGTCTGATGAGTCCAAATTTGAGATTTTTGGTTCCAACCG